AGTAATAATATATTTTAAAATTTATTTTAAAAAATTTTAAATTTAAAAGTCTTTGGTTTTAAGTATTTAATTTAGAAGAAATAAAATGATTTAAATTATTTTTATTTTGTTAGCACTATTTCATTCTTTTGATATTGACTGATGGAGTAGTATCAGATATGAATGAAACCAGAAAAGCTATTGTACAAGCATCTAGGCTTCCAATGTCAATAATTATTGTTGGAGTTGGTCGAGCTGATTTTAGTGCTATGGACTTCCTTGATGGAGATAATGGTAGGCTTTATGCTCCTGATGGTAGTTATGCAGAAAGAGATGTTGTCCAATTTGTTCCATTTTATAAATATGAAATGGTAAGATGCTGCTTAAAATAATTAAATTGTATATATTAATAAGAAATAATTGTGTATAAAAAGCTGAATTCATTCAAACTTGATTTTATTATAATTGTACTAGAATCATGCTCCATTCTGATTCTGAATAGAATTGATAGCTAAAGAATTCAATTAGAGATGATAAATAATAATAATTTTTGAAACTAACTGACAGTTTTGAATGAAAACAATCATTTAACATGCCAGTATGTGCACTTAGTTTTGAGTGAATTAAGTCACATGGGATACATTTATATCTCAAGTGAAATTTAGTTTACAAAAATTAAAAAAGAACAAATCAAGGCTCTTAAAATAATATAAAAAAACTTTATAATATTTAGCATGAGATTGCATCAAAAAGTTAAGTAAAGTAAATACAGTGGTACCTCGGTATACGTCTGCTTTAGAATACGTCCAATTCGGAATACGTCCTGTTTGGACGAAACAAATTTTGCTCAGTATACGACTTTTGTTCGGTATACGACATAATTCAATTATATGCCCATCAATGAACAAGTAGCACTATCGGTGTACTAGACCAGACTAGACGTTCGCGGTGCAACGGTTTATAACTTTGTTAAATTTCTTCTGATTTTAATTCGTAAGTAAAATTTTATTATTTTTATTAATCACGAATCGCAAAAAGGCAAATGAAAAGCGACAGAAAACTAAAAAATGACTAGAAGTACAATGGAACTGATAAAAGAGATTGTTGAGAAATACGAAGATGGCACGCGTGTTCGAGATTTTAACTGTTGCCTACCGTATTCCGAGAACGACGATATGGACAATCGCGAAAAATAAAGACATTATTAAATCTGCAAACGTTGCGGAAGGGGTTTAATCAATTTCTAAACATAGATCGAAGACATTAGATCATGTCGAGAAATTGCTTTTGCTTTGGATAACTGAAAAACAGTGCTGGAGACAGCGTATAGGAAGCAATTATTTGCGAGAAAGCTAAAAAGATACACGCTGATCTCACAAAAAATCAAGCAGGAACTAGCCAGGAAAGCGAGGTGTTTAAAGCCAGCCATTTTTTTACAGGAAAACGGATTATTCATTTTTACATTACTTCTTATGGGAAAGGTTGGTTTGGTATACGTCCAATTCAGTATAAGTCCAAATATCGGGAACGGATTAAGGTCGTATACCGAGGTTCCACTGTATATATAAAAGTATATAAAGTATAAAAAATAAAGGATGAATTTAATTAATTTTAGTTTCCTTTTTCTTCAGTGCACTTGATGCAAATAACTTTCTTTCAGTTGCTCATTGCATATGTACTCATAGCAAGATTTGCAATATTTCTTTGTGTTTTTGTCTTTTTTCCTAAGGCACATGTAGCATTGCCATTACTAGTTCTTAGAATTTTTTCTGTAGGATATCTTTATTCTGTGTAATTTTTTTATTACTTTCTAAAATTAATTAACATTTGTCTTTCAATTTCTTGGGAATGAATGGTATTGTTATATATTCTTCTTCTTTGGCTCTTTTTTATCAGTTTCATCAGCATCTTGTTCTGATTTACTGTCATGATCATTTTTATGCAAGGTCAATCTCTCCCTCTATCACCATAATTTTAGCAGGGTCAGTCTCTCCCTCTAACTCTTCCTGTTCTTCAATTTCAAGTTGTTTGAGCCATTGATTTTGGTCATTATTTCTGATAGTCATGGCTATAGAATACACAGAAAAAATATAAAATATTATTCAGAAAGTAAGACATCCAATTTACCAAAAACTGTCAATACATGAATGGGATACAAATGTACATCAGAAAACAACAATGCTAATTATCTCAAAAAGACAGCACTGAAAAAAGGAAGATTTTATTAAAGTAAAGCTACAACTGGAATTTATATAGAATTTGTTTCCTTACCACTTGCTGCTTTTGTGCAAGTGCATTTTAAATGTGATTTGGGTACATTTATATTTTGCATGAGCACCTGGCTCATTAAATGAGCAATAATGACTTTTTCAAGGAAATAATCAAAGCAAATTGTTTTGGAAAAGTCACATAACACAAATGGTTTATTTCATTATTTATAACTAGTACTTAATTTGGCAAAATGAATCAGTTCCATAATTACAGATAAAGTGGAAAATACATTAGAATAAAAAGTTTACTGATATTTTCAAAAATTTCCATTTATCTAATTGAGTACTGTCCACCATCTAAGATTAAAGAATCAAAATTGTTTTATAAATAAATGAAGAACATAAAAAGATATCAAATAAGATATTTTTAAATAAAAATAATTTATGTGTAGTCACAAAAACAAAAATTTATTCTAAATATTCAATTTTTGTGATTTTATAATTCAGATATTTGTTCATAAAGGTTTTGAAGTTTATATCAACAGAAATTGTTTTGGATGATAGAAGCACTAGATAGAACATTAGAAACTTATAAAAAAAATCTGAAAAATTATGGAAATGTGTACAGTGATATTTATAAATTTCAGATTTAAAAGAAAATTAATTTTAAGAAAATAAATATATTATAATTCTGACTTAAAAGTTTGATTTGAAATTAATTTCACTTAGTGAATGGCTGGAAAAAACCAGAAAATAATAATAGAAAGGATATTCTGAGAAACACAAAAACGGAAGATTCTTAATACTAAAAGTAATATAATAGACTCGATTATATGTACTAATTGAAAGAAGGGTATCAGCTATTGCCAAAAATCTGTTAAACCAAATGTATTTTAAAAACATATATTAATAATGAACTTACAATATACAGGATGAAATAAAATGTTATTATCATGTACAAATATGAATAAAATATTATTTTAATATATGTTGAGTAATTTATACACACCACCTTAACATCAGTTAAAAATATAAAAATAAGTTCACCACAGGAATGGAACTTTATTTTAATTAAACATGTCAAAAATTGTGCAATGTAACTAATTAAATATTTTCACCATTAATGTTGACTCATTTCTCAATATTGTAGTGTGCACTATTTCCAAATAAAACAAAAAAAGATTCTAAATTTTTTCTTTAAGACAAAAGTTTTTTTGTCTATTAAATTAAGGGTCTACCATATATAATAAAAATAATAAAATGAAGTTTTATGGATAGTAAACTTTCTTAAATCTACACTCATTTTGATTTTAATAATTATTTTCCAATCAACGTTTGAAGAATTTTAACTCCAGTAATTCATATTTTAACTTTCAGAAAAATAGATTATGATTATCTTTTTAATTTAATCTCATGTTCAAGGTTACTCAATGGAGCAGATTTTGGATTTTGATTTCAAACAAACTGTAAGGGATGGAAACACATTCTGCACATCACTGGATAAAGGAAGGTTCAAAGTTTTAAAAGCTTACCTAGAAGTTCCATGCAATGCCACACAGTGTCACTGCATGTGTGGTCTTTAAATTTTTAAAAGTTTAGTTGTCCTCATGTGTCAAATGAAGATGCTGAGCATATCCAAGGTGTGTTTAAATGGTGTCCTAGGAAACCTAAACACAGGCAAGCATTGAACTTGGAATTCCTCAAACAATCTGTAGCATATAAAACAAAAACTGCCGTGTGTTGCCATTTTCTTATAAACAAGAAACAATGCATGGAACTTCTAGGTGGGCTTTTAAAACTTTGAACCTTCCTTTATCCAGTGATGTGCAGAATGTGTTTCCATCCCTTACAGTTTGTTTGAAATCAAAATCCAAAATCTTCTCCATCTTTTGAATAATTCTGTATATTATAGCATTAAATAGCAGATCAAATAAAATTTAAAATTACAATTTAAGCTTTGATTATAATTAAAACCTCAGAACTTCAAATTAAAATGTTTAACATAATATCAATTTTTTAATATGATTTATTTTTCTGTAAGTGAAAACACTGATTTCATATTATACTTATATGTGTAAATTAGTTGTAATGTAAATAAACTAAAATTTAAGATACAAGAATAGGAAATAAAGCTAGTCTTATTATTATATATTTATTATACGTATCTATTTATTAGATAAAATATAGTTGAACTGTATTTTAAAACTAACATTTAAACATTTTTTTTTAGTCTCCTTTATTGTTGGCCAAAGAAGTTTTAGCCGAGCTCCCACAACAAGTTGTGCAATATTTTATGTCTAAAAATATTCCTCCAAATGTACCACGTCATACACCTAACTAAACATATAACCTGTGCTTAAGTTTTAAAAATTGTTGCTAAACTTAAAATATACAATATTTGCTAAATGTATTTTAAATATAAAAGAATAATTGTTATATAAAGTAAATTTTATAACATAAATACATCAATTATATTTTTGTTTGTAGTAAATTACAACTGAAAATGTCTTTAAATTTTTAAAACTTTATAGACATTTTTAACAGAATTTATATTTTATATTTGTTGATTTTTTGAAAATAATTAAATACTTATGCATTTACAGTCAGAAAATGTTTAAGAAAAATTTTTTCTTAAATATTATTAATATTCCATAAATAATATTTACATAATATAAATAGCCAATGGGATTTCAGATAAACAAGGTGGAACGAAAAATTAAGATTTTATCAAAGAAAACAAACGGATTATATGAAGTGAAGAAAATAAAACCCAAAAATGTAAGATTTTCAGTTAAATAAACCATCTTTGGACATCTAGAATTTGAAAGTTTGAAGGTTTGACTTAATGCTATTCAACTTGCATGAAGTGTGAAAAAAATTTCAATGATTAACATAAAGAGTAGATTAAAAAAATATTTGGATAACTATTCTAATCATCATATAAGAAATAGAGCTTCAAAAATGGCCAACTTCACTTGGATCTGTAACGTAAGGGCTATGAATGTGGCTGATTTTGAAACAACTTCCAATTTTCATCCTCCTTTTGTTATGTTTTGTGGCTACTTTGGAAATTCATAATGATTATCAATGAAAAGAGTAGAAAAATGCACAGGTTGCCAAATGATATGCCAAATTTTTATTGGTCTAAATCAGGGCTTCTTAAACTATGGGTCGTGACCCATTTGGAGTCACTTAGCGAAATCTTGGGGTCGCGAGATTTTAATGCAAAATATTGAAAATAATTTGTGAGAGTTTGAAAATGGCACACTTTGTGTCACTTCTGGTGCAGCAAGACAATGATTCAGCAACACTGATTGTAGTGTGACACTAGTGTAATGTTGTCACTTTTCAGTGTATTCGGTTGTCTCTGTTCCATTGTAACACGAGTGAACTGTGGTAGTACACCATTATTGTTTTTGCAAATTTGTATATGCTGTATCTTTATTTTATATTTTTTTGGGTCGTGAAAAAAATCACAATCATAAATGGGGTCGTGAATAAAAAAAGTTTAAGAAGCGCTGGTCTAAATTATGACTAGTTAATCAGAAACAAAAGTTTTGCTAGAAGTAGAATGTAAGAATGTAGGTATAGATAATTAAGCTGACATCTCTTGATAAATTTAATAAGTTGAAAGAAACTAATTTTTCATTTTAATTTTTAATACAGTGGGGATCGGTTAACGAACAGTTCAAACTGTAAACAAATCAGACAACAAACACTTTCTCAAAAGATTTTTATGTTCGGACAACAAACATCTGACAAAACAAATACAAGAAGAAGTGATGTCGAGTTCAGAATTTGTAAAACTTTATTTTAATGGCATCTATGCATGGTTTATGGAACGAAACTTTCACAGTTGTATAAATAACCTTTTTTGCACTAGCTAATTTGTGTTCTCTGAATTTTTTAAGCACTTTTCTGAACATTTTATTTAAAAAACTGATAATATTGTGGGGTGTCAGTAAAAGAGTGGAGTGTCAAGAACTGTGTTCACTATAGAAACTAAGAGCAAGAGATAATATCCAAGGTAGAGAGTGGGCAGAAGATGTCTGATATTGTAGGCAGATGACTTCAACAGGTCTACAGTAGATACAATCTTAGCTATAATCAAAAAGGCTTAAGCAGATAAAGGAGTAACGAAAATCACATCTGAGAAACAAAGATGTGCCATCCATGAAAAAATGGAGATTGCTTTTAGTTTGTTATTACACATAAATAATCATAGAAAGAAAGTATATAATTTATTTATTTATTTTTTGGGGGTCTTCAGAACAAATTAATCAAATTCCCACAAAAATCTACAGGAAATTGATAATCGGTTAACGAACAATTTAGATAGTGAACATGGTCTTGGAACGGATTATGTTCATTACTTGATCACCCACTGTATTCTGAAGGAAAAGTAGCCATAATTTAACATGATAAAATTCAGCAGATGATTTGGAAACTCTGCTGTATTGGGTCGATTGTTATTTGTGTATAAAATACATAAGATCAAGTGCTTAGCAAATAGTTTCAAAAATGGCTAAATCCATATTTTTTAAAATATGGATTTAGCCATTTTTGAAACTATTTGCTTCATATCTTTGCAATTGTAGGCTACTCTAATATCAAAAAAGCATTTAAGAAAAACTCCATAAAGCTTGAATTGTTCGAAGAAACTTTTCTGATCTTGTTGCAAAATCAAATAAGATCAGTAAATTGTTTGTACTGTATTTTTTCATCCTAAGCATTGATTAACTTTCAAATTGATAAAAAGCTTGTTTGTTGTAGAAAATATAATATTTCTGTAACATTTTGTGTAATTCACTGTATAATCACTGTATATAAATAATTGTGTATAATAATACAATGATGTATATGAAGAAATATGTAATTTTTTAAATTTAGAAATTAAAGCATGTAACTTTGTCAAAGAAATTATATATTTTAACAATTTTAATAGAGAAAAAATTTTAAAAAATTTGATTCTAAATATAAGACTAAAGGTCTGAAACTATTGCAAGCTGAAGAGACTATAATTATATAATTTTATGTTGAAAAATGCAAATTATCTCATTATATATTAAGGAATGTAAGTATATATGAAAATAACTATTTTCAGAGATATGTGATGTAATTCGATGAATTGCAGTTTAATTTAGATTATTTGTGCCATTTTACTTTACGCTTGTTAATTTGTTAGATATATAAATTTCAAGCATACAATTTTTGAATATATAGTAAATTCCTATCTATTTGATGTAATTGTAATTGATTTCTGAAAATCCAGCATTAAGTGAGCCAATTGAACTTTAAATTTTTACAGGTTGCATTGTTAATTGAGGATAAATTCTTGAAAATACAGTATAAAATATAAACTAACAAAGTATCATATTTAGTATAATTGTTATATAAAATTTATACCTGTTGTAAATTTGTCCTAAAGAGTTGTAATATTATATGAGTCACAAAGTGACCTTGTAAGAGTTATAAAAAGATGAAAAATTTATTCAGATAATATTTAAAAGTTACTTCAAATTATTATATTTAATAGTCAAATAATTATGTTATTTTGACAGTGTCAAGATAACAGAATACTTGACAATATCAAGTTATTTACCTGTTTATAAACATTACACATTGTATCATCTTAATTTCCGAAAGGGCCTTTCCCTATAGATTATCCAAGATTTACAATAGGTTTGGATAATCTATTCGGAGAAAGGCCCTTTTGGAAATTAACATTTGCATCAAAGACCTATTTCTTAATTTTTATAGACATAAAGATATACAGTATGTAAAAGAGCTCTATGTATTTCAGTTATTAATAGTATTTTAATATTTTTAAAATTTTATTTTTGTTTGTTTAATTTTTATACAGATCTTTTCATGTTATTTGGAGGCTTGCATTTTTGTCCTTTAGACATCCCTTATTTTATTTAAAAAGATTACATTAAAAAAGCATTTATTTAACTTAAATTTCAGCTTTTTTATGTTAAACAAGTATTGTTTTTTTAAAAATATTTTGTAAGAATTGTTATATACTGTATTTGAAAATTTCTAGAATCAAAAATAACTTTATGAATCCATATGTAATATATGCATAACACTGTATTGTATATGTTTTTTTTTTTTTTAATCTGGAATTTCTAGAATGTTTAGGTGCATAAAGATTTTTGTTGCATTTATATTTTATAAAGAGACCAGTTAAGCTTTAAGTGTAATATTTTTATTAAGAATTTAATACAAAAAAGTTTTCTTGTAATAAATGCATTTCAATAAAGTGTTTTACTTCCGGTTCTAGAATTATTTTTTCTACAAATTCGGCAAAATTACGTAATAATGAAGTCACCCGCCGGATCTCTGACGTAATATAATTCGTAAAACAGATATAATTAATTAAAAGCTATTTTTTTGAAGTAGCGAAAATTAATTTAAAATTACCAAAATATTAATTTTTCGCACTTTTAATCATTAAAAAGAACAAAATTCACTGCAATCGTCTGCCGCGCATGCGTAGTAGTCGTTTACTGGCTTGTCAGACGAGAAAGTGGGTCGTCGCATTTCAGGAATTTCCAGTCGACATTAATTAATAAAACATGGAAACGATCTCGAATTAAGCGAAAGTAGTTCGTGACATAATAATGTAATCGTCTTTTGGATCGGGTAAGTCGATACTCGTTTCTTTATGCAACGAAAAGCATTGTCGATCCGGTTTTTATAGGTTTAGGTTGATAAAAAGTAAAACCGGTGGCAAACAAGTTAGTCATTGTCGTCATGGTTACTTAACCTTCTGCGTATAGAAAACAACAACAACAACAAAACGTCACTTATGAATGAAAGAAATCGGTCGAAACTAGTTTTTGTAGTATATTACAAGGTCTGTTCAAAAAGTATCGGACCTTTGGTCGGCAAAAATAAATTTATTGACTTTGAGGTACAAAACCCTAATCCCCTTCAAAGTAGTCTCCTTGGTAATGTATACACTTCTCCCAGCGTTCCTGCCATTGCTGGAAACACTGCTGGAACGCATCTTTTGGAATGGTTATCAGCCGGTCCGTCGCATTTCGCACGATGTCTTCTCTCGACTAAATTTGGGTTCCTTTTAGCGGCATTTTCAGCTTGAGAAATAGCCAAAGGTCACACGGAGCCATGTGGAGAGAGTACGGAGCGTGACGAACCACAGGAGTATTGTGTTTGGCGACGAAAGCCCGAATCAGATGCGCAGAATGGGCGGATGCGTTATCACAATGGAGCTGCCAAGTTTTGATCGACCACAGATCCCATCGTTTGCATCGCACTGTATCGGAAAGACGACGAAGGACCTCCTGGTAGTACTCCTTTGGGATGGTTTGGCCTTGTGGTGCGTACTCACGACACACCACCCCACGAAAGTCGAAAAAACTGTCAACATGACTTTTGATATTGCTGCGGACCTGCCGCGCTTTTTTTGGCCTCGAGGATCGTCCCCGAAAGCCTGCTGAATCTTGCGAATGGTTTACACTTGGGTATCGCCAAGGTTTTTGGCAAAATTTGATGTAATATCGCTGCTCACGTTGTTCAGTCATTTTCCAGCTTAGTGAAATCCGACGAGAGCGCACTACATGACCTCACTCATACGCCGATTGCCAACGACTGACGCTTTCTGCAGGCGGGAAAAAATTCAGGGCTGTGCATGACTGTCCCCTCCACAACTCCACCGAAGGAGGCCTCTCTCGCATCATTGGTTTACGCGGAAAAAAATAAGGTCCGATACTTTTTGAACAGACCTTGTACTATCTAACTTACGCGAATATGGTAAAATTCCAGTTGTAAATGAGGGGTTCTACGGCTCGTAAGGTCCCATATCTGTAGACATTCATCAATGAGAAAATGGTATTGTAAGGTACTGTACTATACAATGCCATTTTGTTGATGAATGTGTTTTTATACATTTTGAAGGACTGTGATTTCAGCTTGAAAGTATGATGACGTTTACTAATGTATTGTTTTTTTGTTTTATTGAAAGCTCAGGTATGTTTCTTTTCATAAACCGTACTGTTAATATAGTACTGAGATTTGTAAGTATACTTACTATCGGATTGCAAAGAGTGCCAACGAACGTTGCTTCTTTGGTACCGTACTTAAATAACCATGCCGTGAAGGAAACTTAAAATGCAGCGGTGTCTTTAATTTTGTTATATTTCCAAAAGATACCAATTGGTCGTTTTTATCAGTCTCCATCGGGATGAAGACTGCGGTTGCACGGTGGCTCGACGATGACGGAATTCAAATGTGTTTCTGATAAATATGATTTAAACATTATTATTCTAGAACCGAAAAAAGAAATTCGAAATGAGAGAGTTCCAGATTTGTAAAAATGTGAAAATGAAATGATCAAAAATGTTTAAAAAGGTTTTTTGTGGTATGGTTATTTGATGTATGTTAGCTCCATTTTTATTTTGGGAATGACTATAGAATTATTTCATTGCCAGTGTGAAATCTGAGAAGTGCCACCCTATCAACCTCCGAAGTGGAAAACAAAGTGGTGCTTCTGGTACCAGTTTGTTTTTTGGCAAACACGGAAACCTCGATTTTACCTTTTCACCTTGTTGTGGGATGCGCACGAGCGGTTACGTGTCCCCACACACAGATGAATGCGGGCAGATGGAGGAGGGAAAGTTAGAGAGACGGTGAGATCCGGAAATAATGTACTCCTGTATGCATTTTAGCAAAATTAACGACAATTTATTAAATGAAATGGCTTTTCTACGAGAGTGAGTTGTTAATGGGGAGAGTCTAGGTAGGATTGCATGAGAGAGAGTTTACAAAGTTGGATGCGTGTTGGTAAATAACTTGATTGGTAGACCTTTGATGGATGTTGGGATGCCGTGGATCGTCCGGAGGAATGGGTGGAGAGGTTTCTGCTGGGTCGAGGAAAGTAAGATTACTAGATGGGGCAGTTCTTGGTTGAATGTCCAGTAGGTATATGCAGCTACGGTCCAGCGAGTGGTGGTGATTGAAGGGATCTGCGGTGGAGCACAGCTGGAATATGGTTGCACAAGGAGATGGATTGGTGAACTCTGTTGTTGTTGACCTTTGACCCTTTTATATGAGGTCCCCCTGGGTTCTGATACCCGTTTTAGGTAAAGTTGTCTGTTGTTGCTCTAATCTGCAATTTTGTTGTTAAGTTTGCAATGGTTAGTTTGGAAGTTGTGTCACTTGTGGAGGAAGTACAGTACAGTCTGTGGGAAAAAGTTGAAGTTCCTGAATGGTATCTGTGACATCTTTGCTGTTATAGTTGGCAAAATAAATTTAATACACATACAGTATATGAAATATATTCTTTTTGATCAAGTAATTTGCATTAGTCTGGTTCTCTAACGAGCATTTCTAAAAAGTTAAAGTAATTTAAAATTTAAAACAATATTTTGATAACTTCTGTTTTATTCTTTATAATACGCCAAATGATTACCGTATGAAATTATTCCTTCTAAGCTTAAAAGAGCTGTTTGTTTCAAATAATAAATGTTGAACAAATTTGGCACTATGTTAATAATGATAACTTTACTGCTTAGTTCAGGAAACACAATAGATTTTTTATTCAGAAATATTTCTGTTCTTTTCAAAAATACAAACTTCAATTTTCCAAAATGGAATATATAGCATGTTACCAAGTGCAATTAACCAAATGCCCCCAAAGGAATTAGATAATGACCAGCAGGACACTTGTTAACAGGAAAAGTATGATGTACAGGGACAAGACACTACAGTACAGTAGACCCCCTATAACGCAGTAGATACGTTCCTCGTTATACGAATTTCGCATTGTAGGAATCCTTAAATACATGAGCCAATCGCAGCCCGACACGTGTGAAGTTTACGGACTACAGCTGTTTGAAAGGCTTTCTTCCATAAAATTAATTGATTCTAGACTAATTCGACTTAACATTTCCAAAATACGTATAATTTTTTGGGAATAATCTGTATAAACTATGCTATAAACAAAAAATTGTAGGATTACTTACAGAGTGTGCACCGTTCGACGTCGCCATTGCTTAAGCTTGTGTTCGTCGCGGAGCAGCGCACCAAACAGCGGCCGTGATTTCTGATGTTATTTTTCTGCGAAAAATTCGTTGAACTTTGGAGACATCATTAATAGAAATAATTTTTATGGCCGTTGAATAAGAAATGTTTCTTTCACAAGAAATGTATAAAATTACAGTACTGTATTAGATTTACGGTACCTAATTTACATACTGTACAGACGATAGTAAACTCAACTTACTCGCCTAAACTCTCTGTAGCGTGGCGCTGGACGACGGAAAGTATATATATAATTATAATAAAGTTACAATAAAGTAAGTTAATATATAATTACTGTATATATACAGTACCTAATTTATATATAATTATATGTACAGTACCTAATTTATATATAATACTGTACAGACGATAGTAAACTCAACTTACCCGCCTAAACTCTCCGTAGCGTGGCACTGGACGGCAGAAAGTAGTTCGGCTGCTGATCCGCGATGACGTTTTACTGCGTTTTACGCGTCCCGTTTAGCGTCTTTATACGAATACTGTTGCAATTTTTTTGCCGCATTATAGGGGGGTCTACTGTACTAATTTGAGATGAAGAGCATATATTTTAAAATAAATTAAAAATGTGATTAAAAATTGCAGACCAACATTATGACTGTCACAATAAATAATTAGCATTTAGTTTTTTCATAAACTTCTCTCTACCCTCAAAATTATTAATTATAAAATTGCAAAAAGCTTAATGTCAAAAGTTTATAAGTAAAATCTCATAACAGATGGTGCCACACTCTGTTTTAACTCTTGCTGGAAATTATGCAATTTGTTACTAGATTTTACTTTTCTGGCTATTATATATAACAAGAAAAGTATGGGGGGTCATTTTTTGACCGATTGCCAAAGATTTTTCTAATTTGATTTCTTAAGCATGTAATTTGAACTGTTTTTGATTTTTATGATCTATAAATTTAAATACAAATACTTAACAACTTTTTCCATCCTGTATTAAAATAATCATATTAATGTCTGTTGCTTATAACTTCAGTAATAAAACTGTTTTGTATTGTTTTCCTTTTATACTTTTTTAAGCAAACCTCACTAGAGAAAATAGTACAGTATTACAGTTGTTTAGTATATCTGTCCATCACTGTTTAACATTATAATAAAAGTATCATGTGCTTAATTATATAATATAATTTTTTGCTTTTTGGAATGCCTGTATAGTTAAGTTTACCATTGATTAAATTGTTAGAAAAATCATTTAAAATTTTTTACTAAATTTGTTTTTTAAAATAGAAAGCTTAAAAGAAAAGTCAAGTACTTTACAAAAAATGAATATTCAGAATTGAATAAGCAACAGAAAATATGTACAGTTTAATTTCTATGTGCACATGTGCAGAAAACAATGAAGTTGTTATGGATTTTTAGTTTGCTTGTCTCTACTTTTTTTGATGCTATTAATAATACACATAATTTCATAAAAATATATTTCATCACTAATTAGAATACAAAATTTTACCCATTAATAATTATCAGAAATGCTATAGAGTAGCAGTCCCCAACCTTTTTATCGCCGCGGACCGGTCAACGTTTGATAACTTTACCGCGGCCCACTGAGGGGGGACATTGATTGTTCATATTTTAGATTGATTTAATAATTTTAATTTAACTGTATTTAAACATGCCTTCAAAATAAAATACAGTTACACCAAAAAATGAATATAATGTGATTTAACATTTTAACTCACTAGAACGCTAAATCAATGAGAACCCTGAGCTTATTTCTTTGCAACGAGACAGGTCCATCTGGGGATAATAGAAGAAAATGACACTCGAAGTGTGTTTCTTATGTCCAGTTTATTCTGTTGTTCTGTCGTCTATTAAAAGTCGCACAAACCCGAGACAAATACACCATAGTAAATAAAATGGAAATAATTTAATGTTCCTTGGGTGGCCCAGTACCGGTCTGCAGCCCTGGGGTTGGGGACCACTGCTATAGAGCATTCTACAGGAGGTATACAGAATGTCATAAAAGTTTTTATGCAGATAGTCATTTAAGTACTAAAAATTGTTTTTAAATTACATTATTAATAACTTTTTTTTATTTTTCAGAAAATAAATATTCCAAATATGAAGGAGAAAGATGCGTGTCTATATAAACACTTATCGTCTCATTCCAATTGGATCAGTTGTTTGTCTTTTGTTATATTTATACATTTTGAACAGCAAAGAACTTAAACAACCATATGTATCTTATAAGACATCCAAAAGGACTATTCAATTATTCAAAAACGTCAATACAAATCTAACTTTTTCTATTAACACTTTATATCCATCCATTAAGAATGATAAGGATGTTGACAAACAACTTACTCATAACACCAAATTTATTTTACTTTGGACTCCATTTTTTGGAGATTGGAACTGGAATTTTTTGCCATTAGGCAAGAGAGCATTTATGAATTGTCAGATCAGAGATTGTTACGTGACCATTAATTCTACCCTTCTGATTCAGAGTGATGCAGTTGTCTTTCATGCCCGTGATATCTTGGTTTACAGTTTGCCAAAAGAAAGAAACAAAGATCAAAAGTGGATTTTTTATTCTTTAGAATCACCTCATTATTCTTATTTTGGTGGATTTCGTGTTTTGAATGGAGTTTTTAATTGGACCATGTCTTACAGATTAGACTCTGACATTGTCATGACATATGGAAAGGTAGAGCCTAATCCCATCTCATCTGTATGGAATGAACAGATCGGAAGAGATGTTTGGAGGAGGAAGAAAAGATCGGTGATATGGATGGTGAGTCACTGCGAAACAGCTTCTAAGAGAGAGAATTATGTCAAAAAATTGAAAAAGTACATAGACATAGATATATTTGGTACTTGTGGTAGGGCAGTCTGCCCGGCCAATCGCACAGCAGATTGCCTGAAAAGTTTTTCTGCTATTTATAAATTCTATTTATCTTTTGAAAATTCCATATGTAAAGATTACGTCACTGAGAAATTCTTTCAAATTTTACAATACGACATGGTACCCGTAGTCTATGGTGGTGCTGATTATAAAAAGATTGCACCGCCAAATTCTTACATAGATGCTTTACAGTTTTCTCCCAAAGAGCTTGCGGATTATTTATATAAAGTAGCTAACAATTATACTCTCTATAATTCTTATATGAATTGGAAGGCATCTTACAAAACTATTGTCAATATTAATCATTGTGATCTATGCTATAAATTGCACAAAAATAAAACCAAAACTGTTATTAAAGATCTTAAATCTTGGTGGATTGATGAAGCTAAGTGCAGGACATTATATATATAAAGACTTTTATATTTTTCTCAGGAGTCTCTTAAAATTTTTCATTGTAAGCTAGACACCAACCAAAGCTGAATGCTATCAAGCTATAAATGGCTGTATTTCTAAATAAATTATGCAAACAATTTGACACTAGAGGGAGGTGTTAATTATAATTTTTAATTAATTAAGACCTATTAAAGTTATTAATTTAGAATTACTGGAAGAAAAATTAGCCCGGAGCAGGACTCAAACCCACAACTCCTGCTTACCATGCAGATGTGTTGCCAGTTACGCTACCCAGACCTCCAGTCCAATCTCCTCTTCCAGTACATATAAACTTACATTATAACCATTGATGGTTAGTTATTACAATGCCAGCTGGGGACACATCCAGTGCTCATGTCCTGTAAGCTTATATATACTGGAAGAGGAGATCAGATTGGAGGTCCTGGTAGCGTAACTGACAATTCATCTGCTTGGTAAGCACGAGTTGTGGGTTCGACTCCTGCTCCGGGCTAATTTTTCTTCCAGTAATTCTAAATTAATAACTTTAATTAATAATTAGGTCTTAATTAAAAATTATAACATCTCCTTCTAGTGCCAAATTGTTTGCATAATTAATTTAGAAATGTAGCTATTTCTAGCCCGATGGCATTCAGCTTTGGTTGGTGTCTAGCTTATAGTATATCAGGTTTAGTAATGTTGTTTGTTTATATAATTTTTCATTGTGATATAAAACAAACTTTGTTGTTGTTTTACCATAAAGTTCAATTACTATGAACTAGAAAGATACTTACAATCTAATGTAACCCTAATTTATATATTTTTGTGTGCCAATTTTTCTGTCTAGAGTCTTCCAAACTCAATGTTCATTGATTATTGATCGTACTGTACAAATATAGGAAAACTTTATCTTAGCTCAACATTTAACTTTGATAAATGTTTAAAACTTATGTATATTTATTTTTGGATTTATATTGAACATTTACTGTAAAAACTGTTAATGAAAGTTTGTTTGTGCTTTTTTACTTTGTTTTTTAAATACTAATACAATTTTATGTACAGTACCAGAAAATAAATTTATTGTTGAGAAAGTTAAACAATAATTATGTGACAATTGACATTTGTAAGGTTTCCATCTGGGATCGACAAGGGCTGTAAAGAGTTGTTTGTGGGTGTGATCATTACTGAGACATGCTCTACGGTTACAACTAACCATTTATTTGACACAAAAGCAGCTTATAAGATTTCTGCCATCTTGGAAGTCCAGAGTCAGTGGAGGCCTCTGAATCTCTCTCTCCATTCCAAGATAGTCCCAAAAGGAGTGTCCCCGAATTGCAAATGAGAGTTTCTTCGACAGCTTCTGGATGATGCAGTTGACTTCCAGCAATAGGAAGGGAGATGTAGATGAAGATGGGCACGAGACACCCAAGCAACAATTGGTCCGACACTCAAAATTTTCAGGAGAAGCCATCATGTCATTGAATTTACGGATTTTTATTAAATTCCATTCTTGATTGCTTTTCCTTGTTCTCACTTTCTAAGTGATTGATCACTTGTTACTAAGCATAATGAGATCTCAACTTTGATTTTGACCTTTCCCTCAATCTAAGTTTAATTTGATCCCAACCGAAGACAATCTATCTTAGGACTTACATTCTTCTATGGTTTATAAGTTTGTGTCACATTTTTCATACCGAAAACAATATTTCCAGCATTTTTCTTTCAAAACATATTTTAGTGAGGATTCAGATCCATCCAGATCCTTACATATTGCTATTACTATCAATCAAATCAAAAGCAGAATATCAGAATTTTTATAAAGATTTACAAAATGTTTGATTAGTTTTATAAAGACTAATGTCTTTCCTGTTGGAAATGCACAAGCTCACTATTTTATTTTGCTGAGATCTGAAAATTGATTCTTGATAAAAATTTCACTTACTGATTTCAAAATTGCTTCAGAACTTTACTCTTATATTAACGAAATCAAAAGCTTGAATGTATTCATAGATTGGCTAAAGAAGAGAGATTTAAAAATGAAATGCCAAAACCATACAATTTTACTATTTCTTGAATAATGCACTGCACATACCCAAGATACCTTGACTTACTCCAGAAAAATTTTTTATTTTCTTTCTTTTGAAGTATTGGCCAAGTTATCAATATTTTGGACAATATAAAATAGCATAACAATATTATGAATGCTTATTTTATTGTAGTTAAGACTCTGAGCAATACAATCAAACTTCCAAACAACCTTTTAGTATGCAGCCTTTTTTTGATTACTCTTCAAATGCTTTGTCATTTGAACGACCTTCTTCAGGAAACGTTGAACAATTCTGATTTCTAAGTTTCGTTCTGTAGAAATCGGAATCGTTCGATTTTGTTTCCTGAAGGTGGTCATTCAAATGACTGAAAGCATTTGAAGAGTAATCAAAAAAGGCTGCATACTAAAAGATTGTTTGGAAGATGTTTGTTTTTAATTAAGTGCAGTTTGAGAAGAGAGTCAGCAATACTTTCACTGTTCTATAACTAGTGTTAATTTAAGGCCGAAGTTATCTTTAATTTTGGACAAAAGTACTTGTTTGCTTTAAAGATGTCTTAAACTTTTGTAACATTGTATTAATTTCATTATATTTTCTGTTCAACTTTCATAAACCATTAGATTTGGGGATTACACAGACTTTAGGTGTATTCCATTAAGTTGATTTGGCTAATAGCGTTAAATCTGCAGATGTGACAAGGAAGTCGACCTTACTAGAAGGAATGAATATCTTGAGCATGGAATAGTCCGAAACCATTCAGAATCACTTTGCCAGTGCAGAATTTGCAATATCGAAAATGACAAATTGTAAGTCATGCTGGAATTACCAATGTTAATGGACTAGTCTTCTAGATACTAAAACAACTTTTGTGGAGCACATGATGCTAATTTAACAGTAATGAAGCTTTTCACCAGTACTGACATTTTTTTACATTATCTATTAACATCTGAATAAGGGCCAGTTTCCCTTAATTAAAATCTTAAGTGGTTTATTACATAAATCTTAGGCATAAAATTGTAAATTTTATCATGAAAAACTCCCAAACCAAAAGTTGATTAGTTTAATTAAAACATTAAATTGCACCTCCCAGAAGGCACATTCTCTCGATTGGCAGATTGTGGTGTGTGACTATCTAAAACCAACCAATCGATACACATGTTGAAACTAAGTGGTGTATGAACAACTCAAAACACATTGAAATTTTAAAAATGATGTGTTAATAGGAAATTATAAATTTGAGTGTGCTCCTAAGAAAATATTCGTCTTTGAAATTGATGCAAACTCCTTTTATTCAGCTTTGAAAATTTAAGTGTCCTAATGTGGTCGGGATGTTGGGCAATTCTGAAGTGGTTGGCTCTCGTATCTACTGTACATCAGAAAAGGATGTGCTAGCCAAATAGATCTATTTGCATGTTTCAATATTGGCTTTGAATTATTTCAAGTGCAGCACTTCATACCTTCACTTCTCTGTGAAGGTATACAGAAAGGAAAAACTGTTGGGGTTAAAAGGAAAAAAAGGTATCTTCAATTTAACTGTGTTAAATTGGAGATGGAGGATGTGTACTACTATTCTACAGAACATCACAGACTGATATTTTTGGACACATGCAAGGAATCTTACTTGTACGATGTTTTTGAGGTTGCCGATTTAGCTCAAAAATAGCCAAAATTTACATCTGGACATTGAACAGGTTGGAAGATTGTGAATGAGTGTGGTTTGGACACCAAGTTGGGATTATCATTTACAAAAAGAACCCAGTTATTTGAATAGATATGCTTACAAAATTTCTATTTGTCTCCTATAAAAGATTTGGTTCTTAATATTTTTCTAGCAATATTCAGATCCTCTCTAGACTCTGTCTTAATTGATAAGTCCTTTGAAGATTGGCTTAGGAGGCAATGGTCCAGGTAGGAGCTTGAGGTTGCAATGGTCGGCCACTTGGGAAACACAACATATGAAACTTTAAAATTTTAATACGACTGGAGCAGATCCCAAGAGAACTGATTGGCTAGAGAGGACGGATTTAGGATGAAAACTTTTCAAATCCTTAGGAATGGAACTTAGATCTTGGAGAAATAACCATAGATCTTAGAAAAAGGACTTGGATCTTGGGGAAGAATACAAATTCAATTTGAAAGTATGAAAACACTTGAATTATAACCAACCAAGAAAGGGTATACAGCCTGAAACATACATACTGTATTGGTTTAATAAAATCTCCGTAAGCTATCCAATTGAAAACTGTGGTGTGTGACAAGTCTTTAAAATTTATAACAAATTACATATAACTGTTAAGATAATTTATTACAATATTGGACAAAAAGCAAATAATCATAAAGTATTTTCATCATGATTATTGAACAAAGTAATGTGGTTTGCATGAAATATGTCCTCATATACCTTCATTTATATACCCTTACATTGAAGGCAGTCATTTTTTCGTTTTAAAAACATCCGCATGCTATGATGTGGGCACTTCAAAAAATTATTTTAAATAAAAGTTTGTTTGCTTTTTATGTAGAACCATAACAATAAAAAATGAGGGTTATCGTTTAAGAAAACAAAGTTGGCCCCATTTACACCGACTGTAACACCACAGGGCAACAAGATAGGTCTAACATTTTTGGTGTGATGAATTTTCTTGTAGGATTTATTTTTAATTATTTCAATGGACTGATTAAAATGGACTATACAGGAACAACCTTTTTAGTAAATTCTAATACAGTGGAACTCCGGTTAACGAACGTCCTGGTTAACGACCAAATCGGTTAACGAACTATTATTTTACAAAAATTTTGTCTCGGATAACGAACAAAATTCGGATAACGAAGTGAACGGGTTTTTGTGTCAAATTTGTAAGCTTGCCGACTTTTAGGGAAAATCAGTTAATCGTGTGTCGGTGATGGTCTAGGGTCCATTCGTACGTTGGTGGTGGTGGAGGAGACAAAGATGACAATTATTTTACAGTGAAAATCGTTTATTAGAACGGGAAGATGCTTATATATTTGAGGTAGTTGGAAATGGCTTATCTAAGTATTTTCTCTCGGCACTGAGGAGTGGAGTATCGCTGGTCCTACGATAGTGCAAGCTGATCAGTCATAGCCCCAGAGCGGAAGAGA